ATGGCAGAAGAAAGGAAACAGTTGAAATTATTGCTATTTTTTCAGACAGATGCTCAGCAGTACCCTGTGCTGGGAGAGCTTCTCCCAGTTCAGTTAAGGATGCATGTATTTAATGCAGACTGGGACCCTCTTAGGCAGGCTAAAAATCCTGAGCACTCCCTCAATTCACTCTCTCCCACAAGGAAAAGAAAAAAGAAGCATTTGACCGATTTGCAGCACTTCCCTCACTGAGACTGAAAGGCCTTAGGCCTTTTTCCTTCAGCCATTACCAGTTTTCACTAAAGTGAATGCCAACGTTTTGCTTACATTTATGGTCCTTTGGACCATTTTCCAGCCTCTGAGTTTCATAAAGTGTAACTTACATTTATTCAAGTTTTATAAGGAGTGACAGAGAAACACAGATGCTGTTTGACACCTTGCAATGCATTACACTCTTGTTGCAAGATGCATTGATTCTCCAAAATAATGTCAGAATCATCCGTTATGGTCAATTTCCCCTTTATCTTAGAAATACTTGAATTATTTTTTTAGCATGCAAAGTTTTCTTGACAGAGATTTTCACAAAAATTATTGGCAGTGATTAAATTCTGGAAAACTATAAAGATTTTTTTAAATTTCAGGGATTTAATTTTGTCCCTGGAAACTCAAGATAAGAGCAAATACCCAGAGCCTGCTTTTATTGCTGTTTCCCCCACAAAAAAAAATCTTTAATCTACTCCCATCACCTGGGCTTCAACAGTAAACCTCAAAGGCAAGCAAAACAGGATGAGCTGCTGGTGATGTAGGAATAACTCTGCTTCATGAATAGAGGAGTTTACATCTGGAGGGCAAAGAATGTCCATCATTCTAGTGAAAACACATAGTTTGGTCCATGCCATGGAAACCTGGACAATCCATAGATCGAAAGTAATTTTTTCTCTGCTCCTGTTCCTCTCCTGACCTCAGAGAACAGCCCAGGAGAACATAGTTACAACAAACCAAAATCATCATAAGCCAAGAACTGTGGCAAAGCAAGAACAATTGGAAAGCAGGGACCTCTTCCTGCCCTCCTTGGGATTTTCTTGGGCTGAGAATCAAGGAAAATATGGAAGGAGCTGATTTTTTTTAAATAGTTTGCATTTATAATGGAGTGTGAGAGCATGAAAGCGACAGTCCAAAACCTGGCAGAGACCTGGGGCATCCTACATGCCTCAGGTTCATAAACAGGCCTCAGTCTATAAAACCCACAGTTCTGTCGTCTGATTTCTGTATTGCCATAAGTGAAAGCTGAATAGCAGTAAGTCTTTCATTTTGTCTTCTAATGATGGTTTCCTGTTGAAAGGGCTTGCAGACTAGTTCAAAAAACGCGCATTATTCCCTTCTTATGCTATATAAAACTTGGGAGATTAACCTCTCTCCCAGAGACTTTCTGATCTAGAGCTTCACTGCAGCAGCATCAGGATGGAAGAGGCATCTCCAAGCGGAAGATGGGAAGGATGCAGTAACTCAGGCTCACCAAACACTGGGGACTTCAAGAATCATCTCAGTGCTCACATGGAAAAAAAAAAAAACACACAGAACATTTAGGCAGAGAAAGTTGAGTGAGCCTGAGTTCAGCAGAATGAAATGTGAGTGGTTTTGTCTTGGAGAATTGAAGAACTCTCGAAAAACATGGATCAGTGGTGGCTCTGAGACAACCTGAGCTCTGGAGCAGCAGCCCCAGCCTGTCCAGGCAGGGCTGTCTAGCCACCCACATGGGAGCACTTCAGCCTGTGCTGCAGCAGAAGCAATTGGACTTGAAACTGGAAGGAACAGGCTGGATGCAGGAAAGCAGAAGCTGGAGGTAGAACAAACCTGGAAAATGTGCTTTCCAAGAGCTGTACAGGAGAAGGGAGACATGCCTTTTTTGCACATTGCACTGAACGTTTGGATTAGAACTCATTTATTAAAAAAAAGAGATTTATTATGAAAGATGCTCATAACTATTGAAAATACGCAACAGTCAGAAAGAGTCTAGTTTGGGACGGAACACCAATGATCTTGGGAAAGGCTTGATCTTCAGCAAAGCAGCTGCTGGGCCATACTTTATAGGAAGTCTCCTTGCTCAGCTAAACCTTGGTTGGGCACAGCTCAAGCAGGCCTCGTCTCAGCCTCAGGAGCTGGAAGGATAACGGGATCCAGTGTACAGAAAGGCTGTGAGGCCATGAGCCCCACAGGTCCTGTTCCTCATCACTCAAATGCTGTAGCAAAGCTCTGTTCTCCACCAGTTGATTCCTTGAAGTGTCACCATTTGCTAAGGTTTTGAAGCCTGAGTGACCCTTGCTAGGTTGATCGTTTCCAGGCTCTGGGACACAGCTCCTGCTGCACCTCAGAGGCTTTGCAGCTTTCCCCTTGGGTTTCTCTTCAGAAGCTGAGGAAAAGCCCTGCAAGAACAGCAAAGTGTTGTGAGACTAGAGGATGTCAGACCCATGTGGACCTGATCTGGTTTGGGGCAATGGCTTCCCACATAGCAGTGCCACCCTGGACCTCTGTTTCTCCTTCCCATATCTGCCCGTTTGGACGTGATCTTCCAGGCAGCTACTTAGCCCCAGTTTTGCTTTGGGGCCTGCTGCAGACAGTGTAATGCCCTGGCTTTGCTCCTGCAAACGCATCCAGGAGCTGCTTTTACCTGGCTGTTGTGAGGGTTGTGCTGAAGCAGATGTCCTTCAAGAACAAAACGTGAGGAAGATTGAAGGTGCTGGTTAATGTGATGCAGCTTGCAACTCCAGGGAATAATTCAAGCTGAGAGAAGAGGCCAAGATCTGTAGAAAACCACAAATTCGATTAATAGAACACTTTGATTGACTTGAATTTCATCTGCATTAAGATAAGCTTAAAAAGCAGAGCAAAATAATGATCTTTCTGTTATTTCCCTTTCCTCTTCACTGATGTGAAGGGAAATCGTATGACTCCTTTATTGGTTATCGGGCTCATTTAGATCGTTTCCAATCCGACCTACTTCATAATTGGAGTTATGTGAATTCTCACATAACAAATAGGTAATTCATTTCCTCCTTATCACTAACATTTCTAATGTCTTTTTTTCTTCTTCCTTGTTCCTTATCACTAACATTTCTCTTCTAATGTCTTTTTTTCTTCTTCCTTGCCAGAATAAATGGTCATGTTTTGGAGGTGTTCCCCCTTGCCTTCTTATGCCTGCCTGCCTCTCTTATCATTTCTGCAGTAATGTGTGTCAGCGAGGAATCATCATAAGCCATAATAAAATATTCAGAGCTAGAAAAAGCAGCTCCAAAAGTTCCTCAGAAAACCCCTGTGATACTGAACATTTTTCAACGACCCCAGGAACAGGCCGTGATCCCACCAAGACTTGGACGGGTGTTTATTTGGCTTTGCTACCATAATGTTTGCAAAATTAGCTGTGCATGACCGTGTCAGATACTCTGCATTCAGGCAAAACTCTCGATGAGGTCTGGGCCTCACCCCACCGTGATACCTTGACATATTTAGAAATTAATAACTGGTGGTGCTGTGAGATCAGCACGTGGCCTTCGCGTTGGTGGGGCACAGAGCATAGTCTGAAGCGCACAGCAGGCCTTGCCAGGGCTGCTTGGACTTGGGAAGAAGTCCTCATAGTAGTTCATGACCAGACTAAGAGCAGAGAGACTTCCCACTGTGTATATATCTTTGTATGGCCTCTGCCAATCCTCCCCTCCTTTTTGTCTGAGGTTTTGTCTGAGGTTTTGGGGTGGCCGAAGCTGGGGCAAGAGGCCACTCTGTGGCAGAAGGCAAATAGTCAGGAAGGTCCCTCATGAATGTTAAGTCACTGGGGCTGGGATATTGGACAGTGTTTGTGGTAGAGGAGAGGTTTAAGATGTGGCTGGTGTTCAAAGTAGCTCTATAAAGCAACCAGATTTTGAATATTTATTGCAAATTAAAACAGACTGTATTTCCGTGTCTCTTAATGACAGAATTTATGTGATTCTGTTTGCACTTCATCAGTTACATAGAAGAAAAGCTCCCAAACAATGTATTTCAATCAAGACAGTAATTGCATCACGTCAGGCATGTTTATATCAAGATAGCACAGGATTTGAATAAAGATTCTAGGGCAAAGTCACATCCAAAAATCCTATTTCCAAGTATAAAGCATAATCCTTGCCATCATACACTAGGAGGTTTCTAGGAATTGAATTGCACTTAGTTGTACAAAATCTGTCCTTAATCTCCCGGGCCGTTGCTGGATGTCTGGCCGAGGGGCAGGATTGACGTCAGCCCGCGGGGACCAGCAGCAGGCAGGTTTCCTACCTCCCCGAGGCCTTGCAGCGATCGCTACGCTTGTCCTCTGCTCTGCCAGGTGGTGAGACAGGGCAGTGCATCTCCTGGTGGCCTCTGCTGAAAAGGGAGCTCTGATAACCACTTTGCTCACGAAGGAGTGGAAAGGAAATAATACTGCAGTGCCTCTCCGTGATAACGTGGAAAGGGAGTTAAAGCACACTCATGTGCCCTTTTGGTCCCGATGCCAGAGTTATTTCTTTCTAGGACTCTTTACTTTCAGACATATATGAGAAGCTCCGCCTTCTAAAAAAACACACACGCTAAAAAATGTTTATTTTTTCCACTGGCTCTGCGTATTTTGGGGTCCTGTCTTTTGCCACAGGTCTGTGCATGGTGGTGGGAAGTCCTCAGAGGTGGCTGTAGTGTGGATGGTCTTCGTTACGTCTACAGCAGGGCCAGGACACGGGCTCAAGCCTGGCTGTGATTGTCCACATCATTTAGCGTATTCTTTGGCATGGCTTTTGCCTGTGCTAACAGGAGTGAAGGCACATGGATACTCCATGATCTTTCCATTAAATCCCAGATAGCTTCTTCTTGCAGAGAATATGAAAAAAAAAAAAGAAAAAAAAGGAAGGTATAGCTTCTCACATGCATACCGAAACAAACACAAGATGAACTGGGGTGCTGCAGTTACGTATCTTTTCCTGATGCTCTCCAGGCTCGACATTTTCTCTCTTCTTTTGCAGGCAATGTATATGTTTTATGCTTTGGCAATCGTCTGCGATGATTTCTTTGTCCCTTCATTGGAAAAGATTTGCGAGGTAAGTATTAGAAAATTTTACTTGAGCTTATGTTTTGCTTTAGCAGCAGTTCTCCTTGAGAGCCTCAAAACATGGTGGTTGTGTGTTTACCATTATCTTACAGTTTCCCCCATGTTTTTTTATTTAGTTGTTCAACACTGTGTGTGTGAGTTGGCTCAGCTTCATGGTTTTCACTTGCAGGAGATGAGCTGTGTGTCTCCTGATGGGTAAACTTGGCCGATGCTCTTTCTTAAAGCTAGCGATCTCCTCTTAAATAACAAATCCTATGTATGTATCATGCCACTTTTTCAAAAACGGAGACAATTTATAAGGAAGTAAAAAATGTGTCTTCTAGAACAGTGACTACCCATCTCACTCCCTAGAAGTGCTGCCTGCAGTATGTGTTTGCAGGTAAGAAGCCCAACAGGGCTTAGTGGCTTGTCCCATGCTTTGCTCCTGAGCCACCTCAGTGGACATTCCTCTTGGACCAAGAAATTACACCTTTGAGATAAGATTCCACCACAAAGTACTGGAAAGACAATATTAAATTGTTGCCCATGTAAGGAACAGATGCCTCCCTTACTCCCTGAAAAACTGTTGTCTTCTCAGTCCTCTTGTCTTCTCAGTCACGAGTATCCTGGAAGCGGGGCCTTTAGCTTTCTTTAAGAGGTGCCCTGCAAGATTTCACAAGCCAGCTGGACTCTAGATGCTCCTACAATACACACGTGTAGAGATGTCATTGCCTGGTGCTCCCATCTCCTTCCACAAACATGTTCAGAGCACCAGGGCTTAACTCTGAGCGGATATGAATTAAAACTTCTGGTGATTTACTCCTGTGGAAACTGAATTTCAAAGCATGTCTATGAAAGGACTAGTTCTGGTCTAAGTTGTAAAGCGGCAGAGACAACTAGGTCAGCTGTAAAGAAGTTCTTGAACACCTCCAGCAATTGCAAGGGACTCTGACCCTGTTTTGCTAAGGCCAGCATGCTGAAAGTTTAGAGGACAAGGAGTACATTTTAGCTTGAATCTGTTCCGATGGTGGCAGGGTGAACATTGTGCTTGAAGTGTCTTTGAGTCCTCTCTATTGCCAAACTCAGGCAATGAAATTTGTGCTGCATGTGGGAAACAGGGATTGGTCTCAGCACGTAGATATTTCTGTCAGCTGGAGGAGACACCTGCCCATCTCCCTGGCAATAAGTGTCGCTCATCATGGAAACGGAGCTCTGCCCGTACCAGGGGGAGGCGTAGGAGGTGACATGTGAAATCATTCATAGCGACAGCTCTGATGGATGCTGACTCCCAGCTACCCTGTTATTTGTGGCTCAACAACCTACCATGAAGGCGTGTTTGGCATTTTTTTTTAAAAAAAATGTCCTCAGGAAGTGCCACTGTTTCCATACATGAATATTCAGGTAGTTAAAGGTAGTAAAGTCGTGGTGGGAGCTAACGCTGTGGCTCAGATAGGTTTGATGAGGACCACATGAATGCACTTGCATCCAGGATGAGTTAATACCAGTTAGTTTTACAGGTAGAAGTGTCGGATGTTCTGGCACCATTTGTTCTCCTGGCAGCTCCGAATCATGTATTATATGACAGCACAAATAAAATGAGACTGATAAGGTTTATTTAATTATATGTGCAAGAGAAAAAATGTAAATTGAATACTGTATCTGGCATACTTGGAAAAAGAAGCTACTGCCCAAAAGAGAGATGCTGTTTCTTTAGATGTTATTTCCTTCTCTTCTCACAGAGAAGATGGACAGCATCCTACATTACCTAAAGAGATGAGACCTATGGTACCCAAAGAGGTTGTGGAGTCTCCTTCTCTGAAGATGTTCAAAACCTACCTGAATGCATTTTTTTGTTATTATTTTATTTTTGTTCATTTTCTAAAACGATTTGTACTCATGTTTACAAAAGGGTTATATGACCCAACTAACGTCACACCTCAATTGCAATTTGCTTACAAATATCAGAAAAGAAATTTTTGCCTCCTATTTAGTGTTATATTTTCTGCCATCTTACATTCCTGACAATAAATTATCTAGTAATTGTCTTCCAGGGATCCCACTGTAACTTTACCTTAAACCATCCCCACAGAAGATCAGCCCAAGTGGTTTCCCTGATGGACGGTCTTTCCTTTGGAAAGATACACTCTAGATGCAGAGTGAGTGTCAAAAGGATGAGCGTTTCTTTGTGCCCACAGAGTGTCTGCAGAAGAAACCAGTGTTTTGGGCTGTGCCTCTGCTCCTTTGGACTTCTGCTCAGTAACTCCAATCTTACTTAGTCATTTTTACATAAAGTGTTGAATCAGTCTCTACAGCTTTTATAGCAGCACCGCATCTGGCATCCTGCTTAAAAAAGCATTCCCAATGAGGGAATCCTTTCCTTTTTCCTTGGCCCTAGAAAAATCTTTAAAAATTCTCTATTGTACATGTGTGTTCAGTGGGTAGAGCTAAGGACATTTTAAGCTCTTAAGAGAATTTTATGGTCTACTCAGTCAAGATTAAGTTGTTTTATTTTTCCCCCTGCAATTTTGGAGGAGCAAGTGCACTTTGACAATGAAAAAGTTAACAAGAGAGCCTTACGCCATTAGGAAGAAATGTTTTCTTTTCTGGTTTGTGCTGTTTCAAAGAATGCAGAGCTCTTCTGGAAATGTTCCCATCACATCCCACCGCCTCTCCTTGCTCGTGCAGCGAAAGCCGCTCGCTCCCGCGCGCGCGATGCCGCCTGCTCCGCGGAGCAGCAGCTCGGCGTGACCGGGTGGCAGCGGGTGGCTTTTTTTTTAGCTCCTCGTATGAAACTGCAGAAGGTGTCAGCAAGGCATGTGGTCTCTAGCAGCTTTGTCTCGTTTACCGAGCGCTGCCTTGTACAGATGGAACAGCGGGAGTGTGGGGAACATAAAGGAAGTAATTAACCGAGTAAATCTTTGGAAACAGCATATGTCAGAGAAGTTTGCGTAGGGTGGCAGGGCCTTTTCTTTCTAGGAAACACTGTTTGAAACAAGAGAAGTCCCTGGGCCTCACTGTTGGAAGCTGTGGGAGGTGTGTAGGTTCGGTGACAATCCAAGAAAATGGATGGTGAGTGTCTAAGGCTGAGATGTTCTTCAAGGCAGGAGGTCAGGGGATGGACGGAGCCTGAGTTCCAGCCCTGACCATTAACAAGCCAAAGGAGAAGGGATAAGGGGTATTTTGGGAGAGAAGGCAAAGCAATCCTGGTTGGTAAAATGCCTCACTGTCTTCTGGAGTATTCCAGCGTAGAAAAGGGTGTCAAAGCCCCAACTTGCCCTCTGTACAAGGAGAATTTTTGTTAAACAGCTGGAGAACAACAGTGGAAATTAGCAGTCACTACCACCGATGATGACTTTTATCCCGTGCTTCTCCTGAAATACACATTGGCAGTTACATGCTTTTAGCAATCCGTGTAACTTTTCCAGCTGAATTCCTTCAATTCAGCGTTGTCAGTTCTGTCTCAGTATTGTAACCAGTGACTCTGATGTGTTTTTCCGCAGCGTTTGCATCTCAGCGAAGACGTTGCTGGGGCAACTTTCATGGCAGCTGGAAGCTCTGCTCCTGAGCTGTTTACATCTGTCATAGGTAACTAACTGACCTGCTGCTGCTTCTTGAAATCCTCTCTTCCCCTCACTGGGTTTCAGAGCTCAGATAGGATAGCTAATCCAGCACAACCAGGGCCAGCACCACAGTCAGGTCACCGTAACCACCTCTTAATCTCACCTTGTAGCATAGCTGAGGTGCACTAGGCTCTGCAGGTGCAGCCTTCTCTTCCTCTCCACCCACCCCCTACACATGCTACTTGGCACGGGATCTCTAGGGCTTAGTGTGAAAGAGTGCAACTCCAGGGCCGATGATACCCTGGAGGCAACTCTTTGTGCCTTCAAACACACAGCCTCCACCATCACCTTCATTCTGATTAGTCTTGGAACACCTCTGTCCCTCCAGGAAAGCTGAAGAGGAGTAGAGAATTTGAGATCCTCAAATAACGAGTTGGTCAGAGCGTCACTCTACCAAAGTATCGCTCTGCTTATGGGAATCATGATCAACAGTTTCACCAGTAGTTCTGGAAACTCGTAAACACTTGTATGCTCCTTCCAAAGCCTCAAGCTAAGAGGTTGTTGTGTGGATGGGGATGACAGATCACCTGGATGTGCCAAGAGCAACCCAGCTCTAGGGGCAAAGGTTTGGAGAGAGGGGTGCTGAGCTCAAGGCCATGCAATGAAAAGCAGTTTTCTAAAGAAAGGCTGTGAAAGAGATCTTTGTCTCATCCTGGATTCATTAAGCCTAGAAACAGCAGAAACTGCCAGTACCCATGCTTTTTAATCACAGTGGATGATGCAGTTTGGGGTCCTCTTTTATTTTATTTGGGGAAAGGGACTTCAGTCAGAGAGCTGTTATAAAATGATGCTGTATGTTATGTATGACATAAGAGGAGAGTCTTCTTGCATTTGAAGTCGTCCGTGTACGTAGGAGGTGGGTTATCATCAGAAGAACAGGAGGGTTAAGGTGAGCTCTCTGTCTCCATGAGGATGACTGTTCGGAGCTTAGAGACTTTTCACAAAGGGGCTTGTAATGTAAGCCATTAACCCCTGTGAGAGGCTTCATGTTGCTTTTTTGAGCAAAAAATATGTTCTTTCCAATTTATGCAGCTTGTCTTGAACTTGTTTTTCAGGTGTTTTTATCACGAAAGGCGACGTGGGTGTTGGAACCATCGTGGGCTCTGCTGTATTTAATATTCTCTGTATTATTGGTGTGTGTGGGCTTTTTGCAGGACAGGTAAGAGCATTTAAGGCTTCCTCATGGTTCTTGCTTCTTTACATGCCTTGGTTGTACTGTGAAATAAGTTGTAGCCTTGCCACAAGGATCTCTGGCTTGTTTTCTATTTCACGGGGCCTTACACTGTTCCTCTTGCATTTTTTGAAATGAAAAACAAAACAGCAAAGATCAGCTCTGGCTTTTTAAGCAGCCCAGTAGATAGGAGTAGTCAAAGGAATGCAGTTGTTTTTTGACCACATCCTCTCTGTAGCTGCTGAAAAAAATGGATTGTGACCTATGTATCATGATGTTTAAGACCAAAGGAGCCTCTGATTGGTGCGAGTGGAAACTGGTGAGGCATGGCAGACATTTCTGAGAGCATCAGGACCCTTCTGGAGCATCATGAAAGATGCCCCCTTTTTGCAAGATAGGTACGGATGCACATGGTGAGCTCACCAATGTTGTTGGTGACTGACATGACATACAAAATAATATTGGTTGGGCCTTTCTTTGTACTTTATCTCATTGATAGCCACCAGATGGTTTATGTGGAAAGAGATTTCTAAAGGTCTCTGGTCCAAACCTCCAACCCAACTGCAGCTCCAGCAGGGCCAACTTCAAAGTTAGATCAGGTTGTTTGAGGCCATGTAGAGTCAAGTTTTGAATATCTCCAAGGAGGCCCCAACATTTTACATTACTAGCAATAAAGCTATCAATTCCTCGTATAATTTCTGACCGCATTTCAGCCTGTCAGACTACATATGACAACACGAGTTATTCATCTGAAATTAAATTAGGCTGTGACATCTCAGCTGCTCTCTGACTTGCAGAGATGATTGACTCGCTGTAATTAAGTATCTTAATCTGCATTCACCTTAGCATTTGCCAGCATGCCCAGTATTTTTCTGGTCTCATAAAATGTTATTTGAAATCTTCTTACTCTGCAGACTTGTTGGCAATGAGGTAAAGCAGGATTATAGAAGCAATACAGGGCAGTGGAGTAGCTATTTCTGACAGAGGAATCCAAGAGAAGGGACATTTTTAACTTGGCCAGTATGTGAAAGCAAGCAGGGAGCTTGGACCTTCCCGGGAAGGCGTACAATCCAGTTTTTATTTGCTTTCACCACAGACATTTTTCAAGATGAGGAGGAACATTTTTCACAGTAGGAGGGGGCTGGAAAAAAGTCTACAATCTACTTTTTAGACTCATAAACCCCCTTGATTTGCATCGGAACCCGAAGGATATTCAGGTGCCAAGATGCAGCTCTGGAGCTGGCTCACAACGATGGGGCAGTGCAGCAGGTGTGGGGCATTGATGGAACAACGTGCAGCTGAACGCTACACACATCCAACACATTAGTGGTTCTGCCACAACACTTGCTGTGAAGATCTATTTGATCCAGGCCAACTAGTTGCTACCAAAGCTTTCCCAGGGCGTGAAGCCCTGTTCCCCAGAGGGGTTTTCCTGTAATCAGTAGGACTTTTTGCTCAGGTTGCCTTTTGAAGCAAATGGAAAAGTTTAGATGTTTAGCACAATGGCAGAGGAGCTAAGTCTTCCTGCAATATGCCCTGCATTATTGGTCTCAAGCCCCAAACCTGCTAAAAAACTTCCCATGCAGGTGGGAAAGTCCCATTTCAGCAGTGCTGATATTACCTCTGTGCTTTTCATTTATTCCAACTTTTTCCTCCAAAGTCCTTCGTTTTTCCTGCTGTCACCCAATGCATCCTTGCGCCGTTGGTGGAAACATTAATCAGCGTAGTTGGTCCATGGGAATGAGCTAGCTCCATGTCCCAGCCAGGCAAGTTAAAATATTTATGTATGTCTTTGTATGTTCTTCATATATATATCTTTAAACTCATATAATTTATGTAAAACCATATATATGTAAGGACTATACAGACACATACAAGTATACATGTTTCTATAGATATATATAAAAATGGGTTTGAGCTGGGAGTTTTGGAGCAGAGCCCAATTCAAAACCCTTAGAAATTTAGGGCCCTTGTAAAGTGCAGAAGAGACCTGCTGAAGCAGAACTCGTGTATAAAACACACAGGGCTCTTGATCCAGCTACAGAGCAAGATGCTCATCACATCTCCAGATGCTTCTGCAGCCCATGCTCTAGTGTGCAGTAACTAAACCTGCATAATTACAGCACTGATGAGGAGCAATTTCCAGACGCTCACACCGGTGATTTCTGTGCGGGGATTTGCAGGGAGTGTGCTCTTATTCTCAGCAGGGCTTTCCGTTCGCATCCGCCTGCCGTCGGTGCAGTATTCCAGTAGGATCCCTTAGATATCAGGGGTGATGACAGCAGCATGCGACCAGAATGGAGGTCATTGATTCCAGTAGCATTCCTAAAATCTCTGAAATCCTTAAAATCTCTGAAATACCTGCCTTTTTTGTTGTTGTTTTTGTAGTTTTTTGGAAGCTGTTCCATTTGCACATTTGTTTTTGGTGCGCTTTTTCTCTCTGTTTTTATTTTGCCATCCAAATAGGGAGGACGAATGGCAAAATGCAATGGTCATTTCCGCTTTTGTTTTCTAAAAATCACTCCGATTTTGCAAAACTGCTCCGTATCATCAGAAACCCCCTTTTTTTCCCACCAGTGACAAGCTGAATTCAAAAACATCGATCCGCTCTCCCCAGGGTATATATTACTTTTAAATTAGGTTGCAGCATGTATGTGCTATGTTGGGTGTGCTGTTCTTTGGCTCTAGCAAATAATGTTTCCGGTTACACACACATCACTTAAAAAGAGAAACAATCCCCCACTCCCCAAATTTTATGTATTTTCTCCAACACGCACACTGATGGATCATTTTTTTCAAGCATTTAATGGATGGGAAGTGCAGATGTCCATGACTGCATCCCTGCAGGCGTCGTGCTGCTGAGACCGGCGAGGAAAGCACATTGCCCACACCTCGGTATGACACCAGGCACCTAAGAAACACCCTTAAAAGAGCATTATTAAGGTTGAAAGTCAATTGCTGAGACATTAGAATGTGGCAACAATGAAGTTCCTTCTGCAACCTTAATATGTCCCCCTCCCTGCATGTTTGCATTTTTATAGAACCTTTAATTACACGATGGCACGCTGGGCGCTCTGCAGGGCCCCTGCCTCCTCCAGGGCACGCAGCCGAACGGGCTCACTTAATGAGCAGCGATGCATTATTTTATTTTCTCCTCATTTTACAGTTCTGCTCTACTCGCCAGGCTCGATTCAAGCCCTGCTCCGAAAGCAAAATTAGTCGTTTCCTGTGCCCTGCTCATCACTATTGTGTCCGAGCAGCTGATGAGCAATTAATTTTTCCCAAATCCGTGCAAGACAACAAACAATCCATGGTTTAAAGATGGGGCAAAAAAGCACAGTGAGGTTAAAGAAAAAAGAAGAACTTGAGAAAGTAAGGGCATGTTGCAAGGGATGAAAATGTGGCATCAGATTCAGCCCTTCAGACACAAGCTAGGCAGCATTTCATGGCAGTGCCTGCTGGATATAGAAGGAGGTGGGATTCTCGGAGGCAGCCTCTGTTGCCTTCCTTCTGCTCTCCTTCCAGCCAGCACAGCAGAGTTTGTTCAGTTTTGAAATGTCCTCCATCCAGATCCAGTCCTCTTTCCTGTGGAAGAGAATGAGGAGCTGGAAGATGTTAGTGAGAAGTGCTTGAGAGCAATGTAACCCTTATGAGTTGCAACTCACAGCATTAAACACAGCAACTCTTAATCTGCGTAATTTGGACTGGCTAATTACCATCTAACTGATTGCCACGTTTTGCACTGAGTCCCCTTGTCCCTGTTGCACCTCCCTGGGGTTGGGATGGGCTGCTCGGGCCCATCCAGGCTGTGCTGTGCTGCAGACTCCGCGATGCCCAGGTGGGAATCCAGGCCCTGCTTCCCGTGGGGCTGTTCTGCACGACAGCTCTACAGGGCCCCGTTTCTTGGGGTGGAGAAGTGGTGCACCCGTGGGGTGTCTCTTGAGGCATGATCCCATCCCTGGAGAAGGGATCTCTTGATTCCTGGAGAAATTATCCCATCCAGAGGGTCTCAGTCCGCTGTTATGGATCATTTGTGTTCCTCGTACTCCAAGGATGCGCTTGCATCTGCCGTCTGCACAAAATCCTGAGCCTCTAAAGCTCTCTGAGGAAGTCAGATAAACTCAGAAGGCTCTTCCTGTCTCCACTGTTGTGTAAGCAATGGACACCTCTCAAAACCCTGTACGTGAAAATGTACCTAAGAAATAGGTGTTATCAATAGAGAAGAGCTGAGAAGCAGAAACTGGGAACAGAGATTTAATAACCAGGTAAAATATAACATTTAGTGAAGAGACTGGGATTTTGGTAATCTACTTTTAATCTAATTCTGCCTTTAAAGTTAGCTTGCATGCATCTTAATCTTTTAAGCTTTAATTTCACAGACTACAAGTAATTCAGATTGGTTTAGTTACTGACCTTTGGCTTTGTGATTGCTTCCAAGAGCTTTTTATTTTCTTCTCCTGGGTTGTGGAGGAGTTTTGGGAGGGGAAAGAGGATGGAAAGGCTTTTTTTTTAATGGCTTGTGTCCAACTGAGGAGAACATTTAAATCACAGAATGTAGTAGGTTAAGGAGAACTTAATGCTCTTGACTGCTTCTGCAATGCAGGGCACAGGGGTATTTTGGGTTGCCAATGGGGAGCAGATCTAATTGGCAGATCAGGTGCCATCTAGAACGTAATGAGCTGGGACCAGTCTGGCCATCAAAGATTCTGCTGTGATTTTTTTAAAATTAGCATTTCAAGACTTTTTCACAGTGTTAGATTCAACAGTAGGACAGAAATAGGGAAGGCAGTTAAAAGATGAAATAATGAGAATAGATGGAGTCAGTTGGCAAGGTAAGAAGTGGGCAGGGGAGTGTGGGTTGAGTCCTGCAGAGACTGGCTGGCCTGTGGTGCATTGGGTTCCATGCAGTTGAAGCTCCTCTCTCACTGAACCCATTAGATCAGAGCTGCTTGGCATTACTGGCCTAAAAAGAGATGTATCTTAAGGCT